AGTGCGGCTCGTTTCTGATGTTGTATGCGTGTGAGTGAGTAGTAAATGCAAATCGATACGATGTTTCCCTTGCTTGATTATACAAAATGGTTTTACCAACATTAATTTGCTTAGTTGAAGATGCTAATTTACTGATGAGCGCTGTAAATGCTTCATGAATCAAATTCAATGGTTTTTTGAGAAATTCCTAGGCTTCAAAACGTTTTCAATCTCGTAAAAATGCAAAATAATTAAAAGTACGTGTGACAATTGGAAAATTACCCTACCTATAGAAAAATATGCCTGGAAGCTTCGGCAATGCGCTCCTGGACAGTATATGATCATGATGTATTGATTTGGTGAGTGAGTTCCAGTTGAAAATGTTGAAATTAGTTTTCATTGTTATTGATTTTCGTTTGGCCTCGATTGCGAATGGTCTGTGGCTCGGCTTGTAATGTTAATCGATGCGATCGCGATCGAACATGTAGATTTGACGCTTAACCGATTAGGTTTTGATGTGTTGTCGTGTGCGTACGTGTCCTCCCTAACACGAACATGAGGGCTGTAGTGGAAAACTGATCGTAGCGACACGGTGGGTCGAGATTTGTGGTCTTCGGTCAGTAGCTCACTTAAGTGTCGGCGAGAGTCAATTGCGAAAAAGGCACACTTAAGTACCATTTGTGCAAAGGTTTGTGGCCTGCATGATGTGGCGAGAATTTGTATAAAGCCCTAGTATGGTCGTATCGGTGGTTGCATAGTCGCGACAGTCCGACGAAACACGAAGGAGAAAAAACGTTTTACAACGTAGAAGAGATACCGGCGCCGGTGGTGTAGTGGTAAGCGTGATTACCTCTAACCCCAGCAGGCCTGGGTTCAATCCCAGTTGGCGTCGCCGGGATGTTCTGAGGCATAACATATCTAATTTCGCCTTCCTTCAGAGGGGAAGTAAAGCCGTTGGTCCCGGTTCATGAGTTGATGGATCGATAGGTAAGGTCCAGGTGTGGAAGCTGCCTCCCTGGCGTCGGTAGCATTGGTGCTCAGCACAGAAAACAAGATCGATGGAAAACAAATCAAGGAAAAAATGTAGAAGAGTTCGTTCGAGATCGCTTAAAACATTGCAATATTTGTAACGGCGATCCTGATCGATAATTGAGTTGAGCCTTCCGAGGAAATCATTCTTTGTGTATACCTTCGTTATTATGGTTTTCTTAATGTCATTCATTTTGTGACCGTCGTCGCCGGTACGTAGACAATCGTTAGTCAGATAGCATTCGGTTGAAACGGCGAAAACTGTTTTTCTCGGTAAAATATGGCGTGGGACATCATTTCATTTGAATAGCTTCATGCCGCTGTACATCAAAAATCTCCGTTGGTTATGTTGTCTAGTCCAACCATTTTTGCTTACTGACCAGAAGACCCTTACTGAATTGATAGGTTAATCCTGATCCAACAACCCAACAAAATCTCCCTCCTATTACCATCGTGGGACGGCAGAGGAAAACACGGACCTCAAAACAACAAAGATCATTCTAATATTCCTTCCATACTTCAACTTGATTGCAAGGACGTGGGCAGCGCCGGTATTTAACTTTAAATATGGAGTCACTGAAACTTGTACATTGAGAATGGATGGTCACTCCCAGCCCCATTGAGTTGATTCCATGTGCAATTTCACTGATTCTGATTAATCACGGAGTAGCAACCATTGATATGTGCAATCAGTCTAAGTTTCCGAAACTGTCATTGAAGTTTTTGGAAATCAAATGTGGTTCTCTTAATTACTATGAATTGCCCGTGATTTGACTTCTATGTTTTATAAATTCTAAATATTGAATACCTTCCCACGCCCGCATTAGCGGTAAGACATTTTGCCGATCTCGTTGAAGATTTTTTCTACATACACCTGGCAGGCATCCATGCCCTAAGGGCCGGGTAAAGCAGGTGCATAAGAACGCCTATCAATGGTTGTTGGGTTCTGCCCTGACTGGCGATTTGCGACCTCTGTGCACCTGAACTCCAATTCTTACCTCCACGCGGTGCCCGGTGGGATTGCTGGCGGTGATATTTGCCGTCAGTAATGCGAACAAGAACGGGGGATCATCGTTGTCACCAAAGCACTACTGTCAATTATCGGTAGTGCCCGTGATGATGATGACAGAGCAATAAGGTTATTGCCAACTCTCGAAGTAGCCCAAGATTATCGCTACCTGGGGATGCTAACCGGCTCGGTCTGGTTACGACTTGGCCGTCCTGAATGAACTATATCCACCTTCTCAAGGTGGTTTGTTTAAAAGGACGTTAATAGATGGAAGCATGCCCTAAGGCCGGGTAAAGCGGGTGCATAAGAACGCCTATCAATGGTTGTCGGGCTCTGCCAGCTGATCTGTCGATTTGCGACCTCTGTGCACATGAAGTCCGATTCTTTCCTCCACGCGGTGCCCGGTGGTATTGCTGGCAGTGATATTTGCCGTCAGTACTGCGAACAAGAACGGGGGATCATCGTCGTCACTAATGCACTATTGTTTATAAGTCGCTAGTGTCAGTGATGAAGATGACAGAGCAAATAGATAGGTTTTAAGCCAACTCTAAGTAGCCCGTGATTATCGCTAGCTGGGGATGCTAATCGGCTTGGCGCTGGTTATTATTTGGCCGTCTTGAATGAACTATATCCAACTCTTCAAGGTGGTTTGTTTAAAGAGACGTTAATAGATGGAAGCATGGAAGCATGGGGTCTCCCTTAGCTCAGTCGGTAAAGGCGCAGCTACAAAGCAAGGCCATGCTAGAGGTGGCTGGGTTCGATTCCCGGTCCGGTCTAGGAATTTTTCGGGTTGGAAAATTTCTCGACTTCCCTGGGCATAGAAGTATGATTGGACTTGCCACACAATTATACCAATGCAAAAATGGTACAGGCATCGAAAGCTCTCAATTAATAACTGTGGTAGTGCATCTAGAACACGCAATAAGCTAATAAGCGATATGCAACAAGCTTGAAATGCGGAGAAGAAGAAGAAGAAGAAGAAGATGGAAGCATGTCCTACACGGGAAAAAAATCGATCTCCGAAATGAGAAAAATGACTCATGATTTCATGAACACAGCGTGTTTTCATGTTATGAAACTACACCATGCATAATATTCATGATATCACGAGCAACTTTTCTGTAACGCATCAAACATTCTCAAAATCATGAATCATTCGAGTTGAAATCATGAGCTAAATTCATGGGTTTAACTTTTAACCAAAAAATGTGAAAAGAATAAAATAAGGTATCAGACTGGAATCGAACCAAGAACCTTGAGATCATTAAGTCCATACTTTGACCACTAGACTCTCAGTACTTGTATAAGATGGAAGACAAAAGGCGTATAAGGCGTGGTTTATGAACATGGTTTGTCAAGTACGTGTAACGCTTGTAGCGGTCTTGATTCCACTGCATTATGAAATCATGAATTTCCATGACGAAATCATGAATCATTGTTACAATTTCATGGAATGCCAAGTTTTTTTCATTTCATAATTTTTTATTCATGAAAATGGAATCGGATTTCCTTGATATTATATATAGTTTTTATGATGATAGAGCAATATTTCCGTATTAGAAAAAGAGATAGCAACACAATTTCACTCAGTCAATGCGTTAGGCTGAACAGTCATGTGTCTTGAATAAAATGGTTGTCTATTCAGAATCTAGAAGTAGAAATATTGCTCAATTATATCAATCAGTTATATAATTGAGAAATAGTGCCGTGAGAGAAAAACAGATAGCAATACAATTTTACTCAGTCACTGAGTTAGATTGAACGGCCGTGCAGCTTTGTAGCAATGCTACGGATAATGAGTAATTCTCGTTGAAACCAGGCCACCACACATGGTCTTTAAATATTTAAATATATCCACTTGATTGGTTGAAACTAATGAAAAAAATAGATTTCCACTTTCCTTAGCTGAAATTGATGGACCCCTCGCTCGCCAAGGGACCTTACAAATTTCAAACAAGTTGAATTTCTAGCAATTCTTGACATATTTATCAAGTTAAATCTCTGAAATTTCATATGGAATTCTCCGAAAAAAAAAACGTTATTATGAAGAGGATGGATACCCGAGCAAAGTTAGAGATCAAATTGAAATCAGAATTTGCTGTTATGATGTAACTTACTTTGAATACTCCATTTGATCTCATTTTGGTTGACTTAACGGTTAACACATCAAAAATGAGAGCAAAATTTTACACTGTTGAAGCAAACGGAAAACTAATCCTGCTTTCAATGAAATCAATTTGATTACTGATTTTGCATTCATAATGTTTGACTGAATACGGGCGTAAATGGTTAGCATCCAAGCTTCTCACGCTGAAAGACTTGAGCTCAAATGTCACCTCGGGTTGGTTGCGAATGACCTAAAATTAACACAAAACAATTAAACAATAATCGTTAGTTCAACGACAGATAAGCTTAACTTAAATCTTAAACAAGACGTTAACAGCAGAACTTCAAGTTAAGTTGCTTTCATTTAAAATGTCTTGACTGCATAATGAAAGCACAATATGATATCAGACTAATGTCGTGACAATTGAAATCAAAATGAGTATTCATTATGATAGGAACTGCAATCTTTAATATCGATTTGCTTTCATTTTGTTAACCGACTTTGCTCGGGTAGGGCTTCCATTCGGCATGACATTTCTTTTTTTGCGGCCATATATATATTGGATTTTATAAAAAAAAAACTTATTTTTCACTATGTTCGCAACCACCGATTTTGATTATGAAGTCACCATCTGAAAGCTAAGAAAAAATGCTATCAGATACTCTCAACAGATTAGGTGAGCAATGTCATTAATACTATGAAACATACTCAACACAATAATATTCTAAATCCATGAAAAAAGCAAATTGAAAACTCGAAGTCCAAATATAGTTTGCTTCATACATATACAGTGACTGACTTCATTACGAACCACCATGCGTCCCCTCCATCCGCATTTTATTGGACATTCAAATCGATACCCACGCGTGCACGTACCGATTTTTCCTGGCATCCTTCAGCAGCAGTTTGTCCTCCATCGTTTTGGTCAGCAAACTGCAGCTGGAACGGTTCAGCACGCTGGTCGCTTCGGATGCCATCGACGAGACGGAAATTGAAATGAGCGACAGATCCGTGGAAAAGCTCTCGTGCGAAGGCGACCGCAGAATACGGTTCGAAACGGTTAGGGCGGACGGGATTTGGCTCGTACTGGAAGTACTGCTGGTGGCTGCGGTGGCGGCGGCGGTGGCACCGGTGACAATGCTCGCGGTGGTGATGCAATTTTTCGGTGACGTCATTTGGCGGGGCGGACCGTGTGCTGGAAGAGAAAACCAACGAAAATTGTTAAGGAAGTAGATATTGTTGTATTTGGGTATTTAGTTGAATTATGACAAGCACTTTACGGACGGGACAGAGGGATAGTGTTGTAGGATAAATTTGGCGATGGACAAAAGCTTCGGAGGTTTGCTTTTATTTCATTAGCATAAACACTGCCTCCGGGTAAATAGTGGAGCTTCGGTTTATTTTAGTCACCCTCGCCGTTGTCGCTCGAACAATAGCACGAGTACATGCAATCATCGTATGGTTTTACGTTCTATAGCCGTGCCCGTGTGTCCTTTGGCGTGCAGGAGACCGGATATATGAAAAGCATAAGTGGGGAAGTATCGAGCGAGAACGAGTACACAAATAGCAATGCTACTCTATTCGTTTTGATTGCCGATGCGAGCGACCATTTCATGTGCAAATGATTTACCGCATTATTGTTATTGTCACAACAAACGGCAAACGGTGTAATGTCGGTTTTGGTATTCGTGACCGTTGACATTAGAGTTGCATTGGTGACCTTCTGCTAGGAAGCGAATGTCGAATACCGTAGCCTTAGGTGCTGAATGAGGAAGCTACTTGAGCAACACTTTACTATGGGTCAGAAATACTCTTAAATCATGAGTTATTTTTAATTTTCGAGTTATGGTGCCGAGAAGATTTTTTTCCAGAATTGTGATTGCACATCGTTCTCGACCAGTCTAGTCAAGCCACCTATCGCCTTTATACTAAATCGCGAAGACCCGTTTTTTCTCAGTTTGTTTCGTTGCGGTATCTCTAAGCCCTACGCTTCGAAACAGCAGCATTAAGTTTCTTAGTGCCCCAAACTTCGTAAAACACTATAAAGAAGGATCAATGTCGCTTATGGTAGACGTGAGCCTAGGAATGTGTCGACTATAACACGTCACGTACATACATGGATGTAGTCTAACTCTTGAGAGGCAGACACAGCGAACAAGGGTCAACCAACACTATATGGGGATGTCGGATGTGGTACATAACATACGCATCACAGAGAGCTTTCCTTCTCCCCCATCCCCGGAAAGTGAATGTCGGAATCTTTCCAACAGAATGTATGTAGTGGCATATATCACTACTCTCTGCATAGTTTCGTCGTTTCGCAAAAGCTCCAAACAAAAAATGGCGGCAAGCGAGACGTAATAACAATTTATTATCCCAGTGTTTCACCATATTTTTTTATTCCTTCTGGCCTCCAGTTCAATATTATAATGGCATTGCTCTGGATTCCTGCCAAATTGAGAAAATAGGGACACGCAACAGCATCAATACGCAGACCTGCACATATCCATATACCGACGAACACATAAACACTGCGGCTACGGAAAAGAACACAGATTAGCGAGATATCACGACCATCAGTCACGAGACGAAAAGTGGGGGTGTTATTATCAAAATGTGATTGCACGCCGAGGCTTGATTGTATAAGCAATACGGTCGGAGCAGACACTATATCTTGTGATGTGATATGCAATTTGAAATAGTCCTTAGTGTTCTTAAGGTCGATTCGTGTAAATTTCATGAACCAATGCATTACAATGGATATATATATATGTAATATATAAAGTAATGTTTACTATGAAAAATTTCAGTTTTCTAACTGTCATGCAGTTTTTAAATCGAACTTATTGTTTTTCTTATGTCCAATTATCGATTTTTCCTAGGCTTCGGATCTCAAAAATTAATCTCAGTGGTTCTGAAACTTTTGTCAATTAAAACCCAATTCAATTAAATTTGAAGTAGTCAGGACTAGGAATCGGTGGTAGATCTTACATCCTTAACGTACCACGAAAAGGTGATCTACCCACGTTACGGGGAACTTTTTTGATTACTCCAGTTGATCTTGCTTTGTATGGATTACGGTTAGCACATAAAAAATAAGAGCAAAACTTTACACTATTTTTCTGCTTTCAATGAAATCAATTTGATTACTGATTTTGCATTCATAATATTTCAAGATGAACATTGCATTACGTCCTAAGTAACATTGACAGATTCTCTTCGTCGACTTTCTCTTTGTATCCCCACGGTCATGTAAATACATTACCAGGTATTTTCAGCACACAGATCGATAAAAGAAGCTTTTATCTAGCATCTAATACGACAAACACTCTGCTGAAAGTCTCGCTAATAAAGATAACCTAACCTAACCAACGACAAACACAACAAGAAACGGTTATGTGCTCAAGTTATTAACGACAGAGAAAATCGACGAAGAGAATCGATCAATGTTACTTAGGATCTTATGCAATGTTCAGCTTGATTTAACTGAATACGGGATTGTATGACAAAAAGTCGAAAGGCAAAACGTCGAATGACAAAAGTTCGAAAGGACAAAAGGTCGTAATCAATTGACGTAATTATTTTCTGGCAACCATTTTGCGTGAAACTGGTGAATCTCATTGGTTGTTTATTTTTATTTGAAGTGAAAGTTTTAACAGCTAGCAAAAAATTCTCACAGCTAACAAAGCATTTCTTCTCACTAACATAAACAAATCAAACCGCTGAGTTGTCAATTTGTATCAAAAGGAAAGCATAGTGTGAACGATTATGTTATTGAGTTGCATCACTTATCGTATAACATGTTGCAGCTCCGTAGTTTTAACAAGGCATAATATAGAATTGCATTATCAATATTTTTCCTTCTTTTAATCACTGCTCCTTCTTTCACCATTGTTTTTAAGAGTTAGACGAACTTCTCAAACATTCAGGGAATGTTGTAGAACTTTAAAAAACAATTTTTCTTGAGGAAACAGTACTTGTTCGCTAACTGGGCTAAAAGCACAGTTCAGTTAGCAAATTTCACTCGCTAACTGGGCTGGCTTGTCAATCGTCAAAAAACAATGAAGAAAACTTAAATGGATTGTTTGGTCGACGTTAAAAAAATTCACGTGCATTCAAAGAATCAAAAATATCTCCAAATGACAAAATGATAAGCGATCAACGAACGAATGATAACGCTATGTCAGAAGTGGAAAGCAATAATGATATCTTCTTCCTTCTTTTTCATGACAAGCAGCCCGTGCGACACAGCGCACTCGGGGTGGTAGAAGGAAACGAGCAAATTGTTGGCAAGCTAGTAAGTAAAGCCGAAGATGATACACGTGTGGTAATGGGAACTTTTTTGTTAGGGGAAATGGATGTAATGTCGGCCTAAATTCCCTTTAATTTGGGCCCATACATAAATTCAGCAATCGACTAAATTTTCAATAGCGACCAAAAATATCCATTTGTACCGTCCCAATGACGCGTTCATCTAGATAAAATTTAGAAAAAGCAAATTTTTAGCGATGGGCCCAATCTTACATCCATAGGCCAACATTAGAGCCATTTCCCCTATAATCAGGATTTTTTGTTCAGGAATTTTCCCTGACATTTTGCTACGCAATCTAAACTCATCCTACTGGAATTCCCTTTAAATTACGCAAAGATTTTTTTTAAATATTTATCAAAGATCCTCTTGAAATTTCTCTTCTTAATTTCATTGAAAATAACGTATTTTGAACTTACTACATGCAGTATGTAGCATTCTTTAGGGTCAAAAGCTATGTGAAATAATAATCTATGCTTCAAGTACGAATTTTGGATTTATTGTGCGACAATACTTGTGATGTTACGTGTTACCAAATTTAGTTGATTCAATTAAGCCGGGAAAAACAGGTATTTATCTTTTTAAATAGAGTGGTCAGTGTGCATTTGTTTGAAGTCTGTTATCTTAAAAAAAAATAGATTTTACAATATTATCTCGAAAAATGGAAAATGGATGTAATGTCGGCCTAAATGCCCCTAATTTGGGCTCATACAAAAAATAAGCAATGAACTAAATTTTCAATAACGACCAAAATATCCATTAGTACCGTCCCAATGATGCGTTCATCTAGATAAAATTGATAAATAGCAGATTGTTAGCGATGGGCCCAATCTTAGATCGATAGGCCAACATTAGAGCCATTTCCCCTATCACATTTTCTGAAGTATAAAAAAACTCTGTCTTTTGTTTTCGTCATCTGGAAAGTTTCCCAAGCCTAAGATGTTGAAAATGGTCTAGGAAACTTTTCAAACTCTAGGGATTTTTCAAAAACCTAAATTTTGAAAAATCTTTGAAACCCGGCAGCTTTATTATCAGTCCAAACATCGAAAAATCATTTAGCAAAATTTGGAGTCCTTTTCTATGACCATCAAATTTTATTTTTTACAAGCCCGGAATTAAAAACAAATCCAAGCTCAGATCTATAGTATGTCTAAACATGAAATCTTTTCTATGTTTCAGAAACATTTGAATTTTTCTAGGACTGTGAACATATGGAACATTATTCCAGGCTCACTCAAATTGTTTGTATTAAAGATCGCGAATTTCTAAGTCCCAGATTAAAAAAAAACCAAGGTCTCTACAATTTATCGCAGAATCTTACAACTTCGAATTGAAGATCGAGAATTTAAATGGTAAAATTTTTTCTCGTTCTAGAATAATGAACATTTTTCTTAGACTATGATAGTTTCTTATCTAGTTCGTTTATTTTAAAGGCTCAATCGTGTTAACTTTACTGAGCCGATAGTTTTTTGTTCCGTAACAAAATTTAATTAATTCTAGGTCTAGTAGAAGTTTGACCGAATACTCGCAGCTTACATTGTCGAAGGATAGAATCAAGGGTGGAACTGGCCAGTATCTAGGCCAGTTGTCTAGGATCCACGGTTATGAAAATTTGTCTATGTGTTACAGAAGTTTCTATATTCGAAATCTTCAAAATTGCTTGTTTAAAAAATGCCAAAATTTGTCGAACATTTGTCTCTGCGCCTCAATTTGTTTCAAGTCCAAGATTTCCTAATACATTTTAATGTTCAATCTTTCACATCCCGAAGTTCATTCTTATAAGAAATTCGTGATCTGAATCTAAATTCAACTTACTAAATTTTTTTTGACTGTGTGAGGAAATGGAGGTCATAAATGAACCGTGCTCTTGATTATTCAAAAATTAC